ACCATGAGTAAGTTGGCCGACTCATTTTTGTTCCTGGCGGACTAGGCGCGTCTGAGCCAGATGGGTGCAATTGCTGCTGCTGATTGGGGGGTAGCCCGCGCCGTTCAGGTATGATAGTAGTATTCGATGATTTTGTTCCTGAATTTTGTTCTAATGGCAATGTTTTGTTGTGCAGGTACTCACTAGCAGTCTTCATCTGAGGAAGTCTATCATGGCGCAGGAGAAACAGATACAGGATGTATCCAAGGCCAACACCAGCTTGTGCCAAAGAGAGGCAGTAGCCCGAAAGGTCGACCAAGAATTTCAGTAGCGTTTGAGGGATAGCGAGTATGAGTTGGAGCAGTTGAGGCGTGAGTTGGCCGAGAAGACTGCAGAGATCGAGTCCCTTAAGGGGCAGTGTATTTTCATCGCTGATGACGCTATCATCAAGGCCCATGGTGAACTCATGCTTGAGTTCAAGGAAGGGAAGTCTTCTCACTGGAATCCGGACGAAGACATCCAGCTCATGTGGGAGTTGCTGGAACAGGGAATCGGTCATCCAGGGGGACAGGACAAGGAACAAATGCCTAACCTTGCTAGTCAGCAAGGGCCGTCAAATGTTGGGGATGCGAACGACCGGGCTACTAGGACAGGTACTGGTGGTGCGAACATGATGACCGAGTCGGAGATGGAGGAGGTGACTCGTACTGAGGATAGTTAGCTTAGTTTTTCCTTGTATTTTGGGGCCTGTGATGCCCTTTTTTCTTGGCATGTGCCCTTTTTATGTATTTTGAACTGAGTCGTTTGAGGCTATCTATATTATACTCAGTTGTTCTAACTTCTGATGCTTTCTTCATGGATGAATGAGTTGTTCATTGTTTCTTTACTTGTAGATGCACCAAGTTGTGTTTGCCACTTTAGTGTGGCCCAATGGCTAAGGCATGTAAGCCTTATCTTGGGCTAGTTTGGTGCTTTGCTTATTGTCGGTGTAAGAACCATTCATTCGGTCTGGCCGACCGAATACGAAGTCTTTTGGATTGGGTGAAGTCAATCAGGAGGTGTGAATTCTTGGGTCGGACGGGTCCGACTCGAAGGTGTGATTCATAGGTCGGGCTAAGCCGATTTGACGCGTCCCTTCATGGATCGGGTGGGGCCAACCGAAGATGATTCCTTGAACCGAGCGGGATCGATTTGAAGGTGTTTTCGTGAATCGAGCGGGGTCGATTCAAAGGTGTTTTCGTAAACCGAACGGGGTCGATTCGAAAGTGTTTTCATGAACCGAGCGGGGTTGATTTGAAGGTGTTTTCGTGAACCGAGCTGGATCGATTCGAAGGTGTTATCATGAATCGAGCGGGGTCGACTTGAAGGTGTTATTGGCAGATCGGGCAGGGCCGATTCGAAGGTGCAAAATCATGGATCGGACAAGGTCGATTTGAAGGTGCAATTTCGTGGATCGGGCATGACTGATCTGAAGGTGTTAACAATAATTGATCGACCGAAGTCGATTTAAAGATGAAAAATTTCTGAATAATACTTCATTAATATTTGGCCATGAGGCCGACTGTCTATGAGGAGGTGGATAGGCCTACTCATCCCTTTTAAAATAAACAAGGAAAACAGAAAAAAGATAAGTTCACCTAGAAGTAGTAGCGTTTGAGGTGAACGGCATTTCAACTGTTACTGATGTCTTTGCCCTCGGGGGTCTAGAGTTTGTAAGCACCCTTCCCTGCTTCTTTGGTTATTTTGTAGGGGCCTTCCCAGGTGGGGTCGAGTTTGCCAGACTTAATCTCCTTGGTGTTTTGGAAGATCTTGCGGAGGACCCAGTTGCCTATCTTGAAAGTCTGGATCCTCACATTGCGGTTGTAGTGTCGGGTGGCCTATTACTGATAGACTACATTACGGATGCTCGCCCATTCGTATAGCTCGTTGATGGTGTCCGGGTTCTGGCAAAGGTTCTGGTCGTTTGCTACCTCGTCTAGCCATTGGAGCCTGGTGGACGAGACTAATACTTCAGCTGGGATGACTGCTTCAGAACCGTATGTGAGGGAGAAGGGGGTCTCGCCCGTTGACAAGCGAGCCGTGGTTCGGTATGACCAAAGGACTCCAGGTAGCTCATCTGCCCATGCACCCTTTGCTTTCTGTAATCGCTTCTTTAGTGTCTGAATGATGGTCTTGTTTGACGACTCAGCCTGGCGGTTAGACTGGGGGTTGCGGGGGGTTAAGAAGCTCAATTTTATTCCCCACTTGTCACAGAAATCCCTGAAGCCTGAACTGGTGAACTGGGATCCACTGTTGGTAACGATCTCTTTCGGTATCTCGAACTGCAAATGACATTCTTCTAGATGAAGGCTTTTACCTCTCGGTCTCCAACTTGTGCGAAGGCTTCGGCTTCAATCCACTTCGTAAAGTAGTCTGTCACAGCTAACATGAAGACTCGTTGTCCAGTTGTAGTAGGTAGTTTTCTCACGATGTTCATTCCCCACTTCATAAAGGGCCAGGGTGTGAGGATGGAATGGAGTCGCTCTAGTGGGAGGTGTGAGACATGAGCAAACCTCTAACAATTGTTGCAATTCTTCACATAAGCGGTCGAACCGGTGCGTATGGTCGGCCAGTAATATCCAGCAGTGATCACCCAGTGTGCAAGGATGTGTCCCCCAGCATGGTTTCCACATTCGCCTTCATGTAGCTCGGCAAGGACACGTTGGGCCTCCTCAGGCTTGTGCACTTGAGGTAGGGGCCCGAGAATGATTTTCTAAGGAGTTGGCCTTCATGTATGATGAATCTGGCGGCTCTTGCTTTTAGTCATCGTGCCTCATTCTTGTCAGATGGGAGTTCCTCATGTTCCAAGTATCTCACTATCGGAGTCATCCAGCAGTCGGCTAGTTCAACTCCCATGGCTTCCTCAGGTGGCTTGTTTGGTTGTTGTCCCTCCCAGTTGGCAGGCCACTGCATGAATAATAGAGGGATGGATGACTGGGAAGAGCATTTGAGGGCTGAACCAAGATTTGCAAGAGCGTCAGCATGGGAGTTCTCCGCTCTAGGGATTTGGACGATGGAGAACTCATCGAATTGCGCCTACAGCTCCTTGACCATGCTCAAGTAGGATGTCATCTTCGAGTCGCGTGCTTGATACGTGCCTTGCAGTTGATTGACCACGAGTTGGGAATCAGACTTCACCTTTAGTTTCTTTGCTCCAATTTCTTTGGCTAAGGAAAGTCCAACTATGAGGGCCTCATATTCGGCTTCGTTTTTTGTGCACTTGAACCCACACTGTATTGCCCGCTGGATGATGTCTCTTTCTGGTGCAACCAGTACCACTCCAAGTCCGCTTCCATTTACATTACTCGAGCCATCCACTAAGAGAGTCCACTTGGAGGGTGATTCATTGTTCATGCATAACAACTCACTTTCTGCTTGGGTGGTGGTATCCAGGGTGAAATCAGCAATGAAGTCAGCTAAGGCCTGGGATTTGACAGCAGTGCCAGGCTGGTATGATATGTCGAACTCACTGAGCTCTACTGTCCGCTGTAGGAGTCGACCTGATAACTCTGGTTTGTGCAGTATCTTCTTGAGTGGGAAGGAAGTGAGTACAACTATTGAGTGGCACTGAAAGTATGGCCTAAGCTTCCTAGATGCATGGATGAGGGCGAGGACTAATTTTTCCAATTGACTGTATCGTGTTTCCGCGTCAAGGAGTGACTTGCTTACATAATAGACCGACAATTGCTTCGTTTCTTCTTCTCGAACTAGTACTGCTGAGATGGCTGTTTTTGAGACCACTAGGTAAAAGTAGAGCTTCTCCCCGTCCACGGGTTTGGAGAGGAACGGAGGGGAGGTTAGATACCTCTTCAGCTGTTGCAAGGATTCTTCGTAGAAGGCGGTCCACTCGAACTTCTTGGACTTATTGAGAGCATGGAAGAAGAAATGGCACTTGTCCGCTGACCTGGAAATGAAGCGGCTCAAGGCGGCTACCCGTCCTGCGAGGCGTTATACATCTTTGACGCAAGTTGGAGACAGTATGCTAAGGATTGCTCTGATTTGGTCGAGGTTGGCTTCTATCCCTCGCTGAGTCACCATGTAGCCCAAGAACTTACCTGACGAGACCCCGAATGAGCACTTGGCTGGATTTAGCTTCATATTGTACTTCCTGAGAATGGTGAATGCCTGGCTGAGGTGGTCGAGGTGCTGTTCGACCATCAGTGACTTGACAAGCATGTCATTGATGTATACCTCCATGGTGTCTCCGAGGTACTCGACGAACATCTTGTTGACCAGCCACTGGTAGGTGGCTCCAACGTTCTTTAGACCGAATGGCATCACCTTATAGTAGGTTCCCTTTTCCGTGATGAAGGATGTCTTCTTTTGGTCGTCCGGGTGCATCAAGATCTGGTTGTACCCTGAGAAAGCATCCATGAAACTAAGGAGCTTGTGACCTATGGTCGCATCGACCATCATGTCGATATGTGGAAGCGGGAAGAAATCCTTGGGGCAGGCTTTGTTTAAGTCCGTGAAGTCGATGCACACTCTCCATTTCCCATTCTTTTTCTTTACGACCACGACATTCACCAGCCATTCGGGATAGTGGACCTCTTTGATCATACCATTGCTCAGGACTTCTCGACCTCTTCGTTGACAATTCGGTTACGCTCTGGTGCAAATTTCCTTCTCTTTTGTTTCACTGGTTGGTGATCTGGATCTACCTTGAGCTGGTGGACCATTGCTTTCGGACTGACTCCGGTCATGTCGGCGTGGGACTAGGCGAAACAATCTTGGTTCTGTTTGAGGAATTCTATCAGCTTTTCTCTTGTCTCGGGCTTGAGGCGAGACCCTATGTGTGTCTTTCTCTCGGGATCATCCGGATGTATCTGTACTTCATCCAACTCTTCCATAAATGGTTCATCCGGATTAGTCGATGGGGTTGGATGAGACTGTAATTGCTATGAAGAGTTACCCTTGCCTTTGAAGGCATTCTTGTAGCAATCTTTGGAAGTTTTGGGGTCGCCTTTGATCTCTCGTACCCCCTACTTGGTTGGAAATCTGATCGTCTGATGGAAGGTAGATGAGACTTCTCGCATGTCGTGAATCCAAGGTCGACCCAAGATGACGTTGTATGGTGAGGGGCAGTCGATTACCAGAAAAATGGTATGTTTGTTCACTCTGTCAACGTAGATAGGGAGGATGATCTCCCCGATAGTATACTTCTGCTCAGAGCTGAAACCAACAAGCAGCGTCGGCCACATGTTGATGTTTGCCTCTTCCAATCCCATAGCCTTCACTGCTTCGAGGAATAGGATGTTTGCTGAAGAGCCTCTATCTACGAATACTCTTTTCACAAGGATGTTAGCGATCTGCAGGGAGACAACTAGAGCATCATGATAAGGAGCGGCCAAGGTGACCGGTTCGTCATCTTCGAATTGAATTACCTGATGGGTGTGTGACCGTGAGACCAGATGGATGGACTGGACTTCATGGTGGAGGTTGGCTCTAGCATATCGCTTGGCTGATGAGTAACTTACCCCACTGATCTCTGATCCTCCAGAGATGAGCGAACAGAATCCTTTTGGTGTAGGCTCTCGCAGAGGTGGTGATGGTTCTTTTGAACTTTTATGGCTAATGGTGTTCTTCCCCTTATCGGTTAGCAGATCCCGGAGATGTCCCCTCTTTAGGAGTGCAGTGGCCTCTAGCTGCAAGGCAATGCAGTCCGCGGTGTTGTGTCCATGATCGCCGTGGAACTCGTACCATTTGGTCTTGTCTCTCCTTGCCTCGGGATTGAGCTTGCTTGGCCATTTAACAGTGGATCCCATTCCCTTCATAATCACGACGACCTGGGTTGGTTCGACATTGAGGCTGTATTCCGGTATTTTGTACCGATTCTATCTGAACTGTCTGCTCTCGGTTCTTATCGGCTGGCGATCATAAGATTTCCTGACTCTACTCGAATTACATGTTGGGGGTTGGTAGCAATGCTTCGCTGGCCTGTGCTCTGGCTTCTTGTCATTCCGCCTTGAATCGTATCTGGAGTGAATCGTCTGGTTTATCTCATTCTCCTCCCATCTTATTTGGATCACTGCCCGGGCCAGGGTGTCTTCCATTGTGGTGCACCCCAGTTTTGTAAGCTCTTTGTATAGTTCTCCGTCCGGGAGGAAACCCTTCCTGAAGGAATCCACGGTTGTCTCAAGATTACATGCAGGGATGGAGATCTTCTCTTCGTTGAACCTGCTGACATATTCTCTCAGTGGCTCGCCTTTTCTCTGGTATACTCTGTATAGGTCGGCCGACAGCTTCTCGAGTTTCTTGCTGCTGGCGAATTGTTCCACAAAGGTGTCGGTGAGTTGGGCAAATGAGTCGATGGATCCGTTCGGGAGATTCGTGTACCGTTGGAGTGTCAGGCTGGATAACCTCGAACCGAAACTTTTGCACATGCAGGCTTCCCTAAGTGGTCGGGGTATTGAGACGGTGAACATCCGCTGCTTGTACGAGGCTATGTGATCGTCCGAGTCGGTTGTGCCGTCGTACAGTTTCATGTTGGGGATGGTAAACTTCTGAGGCATGTCGGTTAGGGCGATCTCATCCACGAAGGGTGAATCCGCGTAACAATGGGGCCTGCTCTTCTTGGTTAAGACCGGCATTCCTGGGATGCATCTCATCACTGCTTCCACATCGGCCAATCTCTTGGCTAGTACTTGTTCTATAGGAGAAGGGGACGCCACTAGGTCATCCCGCATGACTGGGTTAGTCTTTGCAATTTTCTTTGACATATTCCGTTGGACCGTCCCACGCGGTGTGATTTGGTGATTCATTGCTTCGTGCACACCTTGGTAGCCTAGATCTTTGTTCATTCCTTCTAGTTGGATGACTCCCATGGTAATAGTTCTGGTGTTTCGCCCTACATGAATGGTCAGTGGAGTAGTCTGATAATCACTCGGTTCGTCAGGATGGACGGGCTCGAGTGCTGTGGTTTGTTGGGTTTGGCCGTTCAACACGTGGGGGTGAGCCGAGCTGAATGGGGTCTATGTTGTGAAGGTTGATTGGAGGTAAGGTGGGACGATAAGAATGGGTTGGTCTTGTGGGTTCAGGCTTTCTGTCACTGGACTGTCTTGATCTTGAGGTTGGGATAAGTCGGATGGATGGTGTTTTGTTGGCGTATCTTCACCCCCATGTGTTAGGACAGAATCATCGACGGCCGATGAGTTTAACGGACGCGGCCTTTTGCCGGAGACCGAGGGTCAGTGCTTTGGCGTATGGAGAGGTTACATGGATGGAACAGGGGTGCAGAACCGATTGGGGGGTGCCTGGCCAGGCAAGAACTCTAGATCATAGAATTGACTCACCTTTTCCTTACGAGACTGGTTTTCTGACCTGATGGACGTGTTTTCCGTCTTGATTGCATTGTTCTCGGCTTCCAGGCTGCTACCTTGTCCGAGTTCTATTGCATGAGAGCGGTCAGAGCCTCGAGTTTGGCCTCGAGGCCGGGATTAGCGTTGTTGGAGTTGTCAGCGATGGAAAGTTCCTCTACGTCGCAAGGTTCGTCGAGCCGAATGATTGCTAGAGGCCCCATGGTGGGCGCCAAACTGTAGACGTAAAAATCTACCTATACGAAAGGGGGGTCTGATCCCGTGAGGTTAAGGCCACTAGAGATCCGCTGCACCTGCACACGTAGAGAAACAAATGCATGAAGTGAACGGGAAACACCAGGGTGGCGTTTGTCATAGACACTCCGACACTCAAGTCAGCAAGGCTAAAAGAGGCTAGTATAATGAAGGCTAGGGAGTAGAAAAGTTACCAGAAGTCTAGTCGGAGACTGTGACTATGGCAGTGATGTGAAGCTCTCAAGTAGGAGCTTCGGGTGTGAAGGTGTAATGTAATGTGTCCTTTGTGAGAGGGCTGGCCTCTATATATATAGTGACTGTCTGGTCTCCCAATCCTGGTAGGTGTAGGAGTCCTAGTGTGACTCTGATGCAAACCCTAGAAGAGTTAGGGCGGTGGTGAGCTGTCTTAACAACGTCCGAATAGGAAGGTGATCCGAACAGGAAAACCATTTTGAGTAGGAAAGTGATTAGGAACAAGAAAGTGACTTCGAATAGGAGATTGATGAGGAACAGGAAAATGATCAGTAGGGGCCGTGGGCTCCGAACTAGCCTATAGGCCCAGGAAGTGAGCTGGAACTAGGAGGCCCATGCCCAGATGGTTTGAGCAGGCCGTATCTCGTATCAAATGGGACTAATCTGGCTTGTTCCTCTTTAGGATTGGGCCTGGTCTCTTCCTCGTTGGTGGTCCTGATTTCTTATTTAGGCCAAGGATGATTTTTGGCCCTAACACTAATTAGCATAAATAGATTATATAATGACCATTTATAAGTGCGCATCATTGCGTAAGGTATATACCTGGTTACTACCCATTACTCTAAACAAGGATACATGACAAAGTTAATGGTTGTGTCATATAAATTCACGATCATTTTTCCCTCTAATTAACCTTGATGTTAATGTCTTCATTCTTTAGCCTTGAAGTAATTAGTTCTCCTCCTCCATTTATAACTTTTATTAAGCACATTATTGGTCAAATAAAATTTATAATTGGTATCATGCTTGAGTAGAACATAACTTAAATGGTTTTCCATCTTCATCAATTGCCACAACCACTATAATGATAACTGTAGGAGGATGGTTTTCAACATAGTCCTTCAACTACCATTATACAGAGCCGAGCATATTACTTCCAGATGTCTAGGCTCTAGTATCTCTTTGAATTTTTTTTAAATAAAAAAAAAAAAAAAGCAAAATCGGTAAAAGTTAAGATAGAGTAATTGTGACAGGAGAAGAGATACCTGATCGTTTGTGTGATGAATTTGGAGAGAAGACGAAGTTGAAGAAGATGAGGGACGGAGTTGCTCTTGTTGCTGGCAAATCAAAGCTGCTCTTGCTTGCTGGAAAACTGGAGAGAATGGTGTGACGAAAACGAAGCTACTCGTCTACTCCTGCTTGCTGGAAAACTAGAGAGACTAAAGCTGCTCTTGCTACCAGAAGAAAGGTGGGGCTACTTACCGGAAAACTAGAGGGAATGGTGTGAGCGGTGACGAAAGAACGAAGTTGCTTGCCTGCTCTTTCTTGCCGAAAAACTACAGAGAATGAAGTCGCTCCTGCTGCCAGAAGAAGACAACAATGCTGCCGGAAGAACGACGGTGTAATGTGTAGTGTGGACTATGGTGTGGGTGGACGCTTGGAGTACGTGAAAGTGAAGAGTTTTGAGAACAGAGACAAAAAACGTAAATGAGATATTGGGATTTAGGTTTAACAGTTTAGGGATTAAGATTTTTTTTTTAATATATATATTAGTAAACCGGTTTCGGTTAACCGGTTTTCATTTTCACCCAAACCGAAAATCGAACCTAAAATCTAGTTTTTTGAATTCTTTAAACCGTAACCGAACCGATTTTTCGGTTAATCGGTTTTTGGTTTGGTTACCGGTTCGGTTTGGTTTGGTTTTTGCATTTTTTTTAACACCTCTAACTAAATATTGTATGTTTATACGAATGAATAAACACCCTAAAACCTTAAAAGATTACTTTTGTATTGAAATTCTTTGATGAACCAATTGGTAATCTAAAGCTTGTAAAATTTATATGATCATGGGTGTGAGATTATAATGTACAAAGATTTAAGTCCATGGCCCTTTCTTTATGAATAAAGATAACCTAACAAACACCTCTCACTAATACTCTCTCATAAACGCAATTTGGTAACTCGCAATTGCTTAGTTTGTATTTGATCAGACGAGACCCATGCGAGCTGACACGTTGTGTTTGTGAAAGAAAGTTAATTAGTAAGAAGTGTTTGTTAGTGTAGTATTACTCATAATTGTGTTTTAACCAGTTCATTGGGTTTGTAGGTCATTTAATGGATTCTGAAAAGTAGTTGAGGCGTGCATAAACTAACCCAAATAACTCGGTTATATATATATAAGAGACAAAATTGAAAATTGAAAATGTGAAAAAATAATTATATGGACAGACATGCACCACGTTGAACCATATCTTATTCATATATTCATCAAAGTTTGTGAAGAATAATAATAAATAAATAAATAAAAACATAATATTTTCTTCGTAGCATGTGAAAGCTTTCAACGCGGGCGTGAACTGGTTGGTTGCTGTATATAATTAAGTTAACCTAAACCTAAATACTAATAATAATAATAATAATAATATGATAGATTATCATATTTAAAAAAAAAAATGTTCTACTTATCCGTAAGTTTTAATTGAGTGAATGGATCATATAAGTTGCATATAGATTAAGTATCTTTCAAAAAAAAAAAAAATATTGAGATCATCAATATGTCTAGGTAGCTACCTGTATTTATGAAGTATATGTACCATCACATCAAGAGCTTATCTTAAATCAAATTAATTAAAACGTTCATGCATGCATGCATTAATTTCTTGAAGCAGATTTTGGTTGGGTAGCATTTTCAAAAACTAGTATAAATAAACAATGCAATTTAATTAATATGAACACAACCCGCATGCTCACAACCACCTCATTTAATTTGTATCCACATATTAGGGTTTCATTTATCTTTTCAATGATAAGACCGTTCACAAAGAATGATATATAATTTATGTTTGGGCGAACGACTTGTACATACCCAAAGTTTACTGCAATGATAAGTTGATACCTAAAAGGTTTTGAAACGACAAATAGGTACCTTCCGTCATATTTTGTTAGTGATTTTTGTTTATTAATAGTGAAAAGACTAAAATGCCCTTCAAAGTTTCAACTTTTGTTTTTTATAAATTTAAAAATTTCTAAAAAACCCCCTAGGTTTGCTAATTTAATTAAACACCCCCATATATAAAATTTTTGTTAAATGACAAAAACACCCCCACCACCCCCAGTGCCAGATTCCGGCCACCATCGCCGGAATCTGGCCGGAAAACTGTATTACGACACAGATCCGTCGGATCTGTGTCGTAACGTGCCGATCTTGCCTTTTCCGGCAAGATTCGTGGCGGATCTTGCCGGAAAAGGCAAGATCTGGCCGTCGAAGCAGCAGCCAGATCTAGCCTTTTCCGGCCAGATCCGTGGCTGATCTGGCCGGAAAAGGCCAGATCTGGCCTTCGACGCCGCAGATGGAGTTTTGCGGCGTCGACGGCCAGATCTAGCCGTAGATCTGGCCTTTTCCGGCCAGATCAGCCACGGATCTGGCCAGAAAAGGCCAGATCGACGCGTTACGACACAGATCCGACGGGTCTGTGTCGTAACGCAACTTTCCGGCCAGATTCCGGCGGTGGTGGCCGGAATTTGGCACTTGCCGGTGGGGGGTGTTTTTGTTATTTTATAAAACTTTTATATATTGGGGTATTTAGTGAAATTTGTAAACTTAGGGGGTTTTTTGAAATTTTTAAATTTATAAAAAACTAAAATTCAAACTTTTAAGGGCATTTTAGTCTTTTCACTATTAATAAACAGTAATAAACAGAAATCACTAACAGAACATGACGGAAAGTACCTATTTGTCATTTCAAAACCTTTTGGGTATCAACTTGTCGTTACGATAAATCTTGGGTATGTATAAGTCGTTCTCCCTTTATGTTTATATAATTCTTTTTGGGTAATCTTCTTCATGCAAGGAGAGTTTGTACAAACTAATATGATACACCATGTGAATGTCATGTGATATGAGAACCCACATAATATTAATGTGATATTAAGTTACGTTAGTCTCAATACCACATGACATGTTTTATGATATGTCACGTCAGTTTGTACAAACTTTTTTTATACAAAGAGTTTGTACAAATAACATTACCCTTTCTTTTTTGGGTAATCGAGATATATAGACTAGTTTGTATATATATCAATTAATCTTCAAGATTTATTGAATATCCTATAATCTTAAAAAATTATATAAGTCATAATGATATTGTGGTATTATTGTCATACTTTTTTAAGTTTTTATAACAAATTTTGGTATTTCTTATGAATTTGTGGAAGTATATACTATATAGTATATAGAATAAGCTAATCTCTTTCTCAATTTTTTGGGATTTGTGTGATTATTTATTGAAAACCAGTAGCAGAGATACCCTAGCTCACCAGTCACCAGTAAATTAAATTAATGAGCTATGAACCATCACCATCTTATTAATTTCTTTCCCGATGCTTCTTGAAATACCAAGATTGTTCTTATTTCAGCTTACAATATTTTAAAGAATTTTATGACACGTGTCTATTAAGGTTTGAATATCATATACACCAATAAATTTATTTTAAAAACAAATGTTAATCCATTAATTGGAAACAATTGAGCCAAGGTTATAAACTATATAACGAAGAACTATTTAAAGAAATGACCTTAATTCTTTATATAATAACTCTGTTGATATGATGATTTATACCAACAAAAAGTACGTAGATTTTAAGGTAAAACCTATATAAGTGATTTGTATGAAATCTGTGATGTGATATTGAATCAATGAATGAACTAAAAAATACAAACGAAACAGATTTGTAAAGTGGTTCAAATGCTAGATGCAAAGCTTACATCTATTTTTTTTTTTTAGATGCAAAGCTTACATCGTTTTTTTTTTTATTATTATTACCTTTTGTGTTTGTTTTTCTTTTTCACATACACATGTGGCTTGCAAAAAAGATCGATCCTTAGTTTGAGTGAAAAGTAAGTTTATATACAGTTACAATAGCAAACTTGTAAATAAGTTAACTTAAAATAGGATGACACGTGGTGTAAATCTGTGCTCTGAGGATTAACTGCAGAACAAACCGTTAATTGAATTGTGTAGGGTTTAGAATTGATTTATGTACTAATAAAATGATTAGAATTAAATGAATTTGAGGGCAAAGAGTATAATTATTAGATGCATTGTTGGGAATGAAGGGACAATAGAGAGCATAATGTGAAAAAACAAAGAAATTTAGTATAAAACAAATTTGGTCACAATCACACGGTAAGAGATGAGATTCTTTTTTATAAAAAGCAGAGAAAGTCCAAAAGCTATCAAAGACTTCTTTGTTCAATATCATCCATATGATATGTGAGAGGAAGAATTTTAATTGATTTTTGCTTTCATATTATATGGGTTATTATCATATACTCCCTAAAAAAACCGTTATATTATCAAAAGTATCGCAAATCTGTTGTTTTTTAATTTTTGTTACTCGGGTTTTAATGATTAAATTAACCTTCGCAAGGGATAATAATACTCTCTGAAAGCATTGGAAGTTGATAAAAATGTTTTGACTTTTCGTTTTTGTTATGCCTGAAAAAGTAAGGCTGATGCAAAACCTGATCAACGTAAATAGTCAGAGTCTAGGCACTGTCATGTCGCATGCTGGTGTGAGCAGCATGCTCTTGCCAGTGTATTGGGTGCATGCCAGACTAACGAAAGGTTAGAGGCCATCCACGTGTCCAACCCCTATACTAAACGAGAAAATCACTCGAGTGGGTGAGTAACGGGACGCAAAGAAGGATTTACAAGGTATCTGCCCCCTTTTTACAGATTTTGTAATCATTACTCCAATTCATCCCACTATAAATAGAGAGTCATTTCCCGTTTGTGGGATTGGCTCATTTTCACTCTGTAATAGTTAAATTCTCTCTGTAATAGCTTACTCACTCTTATGTAATCATTTGCAGGTCAGCTCGCTGAACGCGACCTGACCCTCCATATTAATACAATATCAGTGGACGTGGGAGTCGCTTGCTTAAACATCCGAACCACTTTAAAACTTTGTTTCTCCACATATTATTCATTTTCACTACTCTCATTCGAGTGTGTCTTCTGAGCCAGCTCAGCATTTCGTACGTGCGTTTAGTTGGTGTTAAAATCACGCATCAACAGCTTTATTTTTTACATGGGTTACTAACTTATTATCATTGACTCTGAACATTTGTCATTTTTTTACATGTGGGTTACTAATTAATTAAGCTTAATCACGGATTGACCTAAGAAATCACGGATTAACCAAACAAAAAGAAAAATGCTCCAAGAGCACTCAAGACAAGAATTATATTAGTTTTTATTTTCTAAAATCTGATAAATTATAAGCCTCAAGTGACAGATTTTGATGTGGATGACTGAAATTGAAGAATTTTATAGCACAAAAGAACAATAATCCTTCACTGTATATCTGTTCTAATATGGGATTTTTTTTTCTACAAGTCAATAAGTGCTTATAGAAATAACTGCTTATTTATAGTGGGGTGGTCCCAACATTGTACTATATAGACCAAACTTAGAAGCATTTTTAATTGTACATAAATTTTAGTTTCTATAACTTGGGTAAATAAATTTGCATGAGTGCTTTTTAGGCTATTCATTGAATTACTTTATCTTTTAGGGCCTTTTTTTTTTTTTCAATTAATTGTGCGATGCATTGTACCATGAAGTTTGACTAATGTCTTCTTTTCTACATTTTGTGTTCTTTTTCCTTTAATTTTAGTTAAAGTATAGGATAGATCCTTACGCCTACAAAATTAAAATATGTTGTAAAATACTGATCTAGTGACGTTAGTAGTCCCACATGTTTGAGAGTTATTATATAGATGTGTATGTTAAAGGTTTCACGCTTTTTATTTACTAAGTTTTACATTATAAGTTTACAAAATTTTCATTAACATGCTGATATAACGATATAATGTAACAAAATTGTGTTCCATATGGTAACATTATATACTCTTGAAATTAGCATTAATTCTCCCATTGTTTGATGGATGTGTTGTACAATAAGGTGAAATAAAACTTCACCTTTTTTCTTTTTCCTGAAAATCATGACTGGTACTCCAAAGGACATAATTGTTTTTAAGAATTGTATTTACTATTAGACAAAAGCTTAATGTACTCTCATCAAATTGCTTGCCCACCTCAAAAGTCAAGACAAATCTTCTTGTTCACATGTGAAGTCTTGTGTCTTGTAAAAACTTCAATTCCACCAAATGCCCATCTCTAATTTCGAGAGACATCTATTTGATTCCTATAGTTTATGCTGAATACAAGCAAGGACATTCATTTGAAATACTTTACCTTCAACTACAATTGTATTAACTAACACAATATGTTTTGTCTAAAGACAATACTACCCTTGAAATCTGATAGTTGAAATGAATTTAAATTCAAATAAATGTCCTTGATGAAACTGAGCCTACACCACATGGGCTAAATTGAATTATAGAATTGTCTGTCTTTTTCTCAGAAGCAAAAGCACTTTATAAAAAGCACTTATCTCTACAATACATCCATCCCCATCTCCTCAAATTCTCTCTCTCTCTCTCTTTTTTCTCTTCTCTCTTCACAAATGGCCTCAAAACTTGCAACCCTGGTGCCATTTGCCTCCATTTTAGTGCTCATGTTGATTGGATTTGCAAGCTCCGATGTGAATCAAGATAAAGCCGAGTGTGCAAACCAAGTGGTAGCTCTCGCCACTTGTCTTCCATACGTTGGTGGTGAAGCCAAAACCCCCACCGTTGATTGCTGCTCCGGCCTCAAACAACTCCTTGAAAAGAGCAAGAAATGCCTTTGCCTCCTCATCAAAGATAGAGATGATCCCTCCCTTGGCGTCAAGATTAATTCCACTCTTGCTGCCACCCTCCCTTCTGCTTGCCACTCTCCTGCTAATGTCTCTGATTGCATATGTAAGTACACCTCTACTTAAGTCTGTATGATTATGTTTTCGATCGACCACACTAGTCTCTACTTAACGTCTCTGCAATATCGTGACGGTATCAATACCGGATCTTAACTCTCTTTTTTTTTTTTTTTGGTATGAATTCAGCTTTGTTGCATTTGGCTCCCAATTCAGCAGATGCGAAGATGTTCCAGGGATTTTCAAACATGACACAAGGGCACACAAGTACGCCAGCAGCAAACTCCACTAGTGAATCAGCTTCAGCTAAGGAATCGAGTGGATCAGAAAAGAGATGGCCAAAAATAGAGATGGCTTTTGGGGTTTTAGTTTTAATTTTCTTTACTTTACACATATGATTTATAATATATGATAGGTAGAATTAATTAATGAATGTTAAGTCTTATCTTCTTCTTCTTTTTTTTTGAGGTGATGTATTTTATTTTTATTAACAATATGTTGTGATTTGTGACATCAATATCTTATCTCTTTGTTGTATTTAGTTGGGTTTTCAATTTTAATTGAAATTAAGTGGACCCAAGTGAATTTAATGGGGCTTTTTTGGGAATGGGACAGATTTATATCATTTCACCAACTTGAATAAAATACCAACCATATTTTGCCCTTTTGGGTCACCACAAGATAAGTCATGCTCAATTTGTTTATTTTCTCATAAAAATTTCAAAGAAAGAATAGAGTTTATTTCGTATACCATATAAGATTGATTAATATTTAACGCACCCATAATCATTAGAAAATATTTTTTATAAAGGGTTTTAAATATAATCTAGGAAGAATATTTAATAATTTTAAAAGTATATAATACTTTATGTGAAATAATTGTTGGAGAATAATTAATTGAAATTTGATGATGTTCAATTCTAAGTCTTTGTACCTTGAAAGTCTCAAATTTCTTCCACATTTTTTCTTTTGATAACGCATCTGTCTGAATTAGCTTAGCCTTACCTCAATTAATTCTCTGAGACCTAAAACTACCGGTTTTCGAGTAAGAGTTCCAGTGACCATCCATATTAGCAATTAAGAAGAGACTCGAACTTAGAATCTCTTGAGTAATACACTCAAAAGTCTCTATGATTCTATCGAGTGATTAAATTTCTTCCACATTTATGGGCAATGATTATGGGTTTTATTTGAGAAATGAAAATTTTCAACACAATTTAGCTTCTTTTTATGTAGCTACTAAAAATCAAGTCAAGGAGGCCAATAATTCCAATTCCAATAGCTTTCGGTCACAACTTTCTCAAGCATGCGATGCAAGCTTTAAAGTTTCATAATTATCTCGTTTACCATTAATTATACCAGTGGTGGAGCCAAATATAAATCATTTTAAAATTTTCAACAAATTGACTTTGATTAGTACTAATAATAATTATACCAGTAGTGGTGGCCAGGGGCATTCACACCGAGCAGAATTAGTTTCATACCTTTGTGTGTGGGGGCATCTCGAGACTTCTCACCTATTTTCATGATTTCAAGGCTACTTAATAGCATCATTATGAACACAATTAAATGCATTAATTACAAGTACAAAGAGGAATGATAAAAAATAACATACTAAACAAAATTTGAGGTGGGGCATGAGCCCTCCCTAGTTCTTCATTGCCTCTACCTATGTAGGTTACCCTAATGTTCACTAAAGAGTAAATGGAATTCGGTTCTTATTCTTTGGGCCATTGATGGCCTCAATTGTGATCCACTATAGGCTTTCCACCCAATTAGGCTTACTGTTGGGCCTTGGATTTCTAATTTGATATATCAAATAGGACACCAATTGTGGCATTGAAAGGGTCATTAATTTTGGGAAGTGAATTTTAGTCACACATCTAATTGATCTTCATCCTCCAGGCTTCAAGACTAAGTACACATTTTCTTTAATTTAAAAAAAAAAAAATATATATATATATATATTTAAACCACATTTAATACCCAAAATAACCTTTTAAGCTTAATTAGGTTTATTTTCCTTAATTTCAAACTTAATTAAGTTTTTTCTTTACGGCTTTTTCCCCCTAATTTCCTAATTTCAACTTATTTTTTCTTTTTCATATTCAAATTCATCCCGTTATGTTTTTCATAGTTTTGGTATTATATTTTCATTAAAAAAAAACAAATATTTAAAATAAGACAAAATGTTTTAATGATTATGAAAAATTGATTAGAGTTAAGGTTTAAGTAAGATTAAATATTAAAAATTAAAATAGAATATGAGTGTATTTAGAAATTATATTGTTATTTCTAGTAATTTAAATTAAGGTTATATTTGTCAAAACAAAAAGAAAAATTTAAAAGTGGGTGTGAAAATCAACTAGGTGGCGCTAAAATTCACTTCCCTTCATTTTTTGTATGTTCATGGATAGGGTTTTATAGTACAATTATCCTATAACATAATAAATTCGATGTTATAAATTCTTCGGTAGATATTGATGAAAAATGATCCACCGAAACAGAAAAAAATTAAGTGCTATCATATTCATATAACTGTTTATCAATTAAGTTCATTAGTCGGAGATAAGTGGATGTGAACCATTGACATTCGTCATAAAGTAAACCACGACCTTTTCAACCCCCACTAATTATACCATAGAGACCATCGATAGACAATAACTCCCTCTAAACACAATTTACAACTTTCAAAGTACTATGCACTCTAAATAACAACTCTTCTTAAAATATGAAAAAATGTTATGTTCTAATTACATTCTAAGTAAAAATTATTGTGATTTCAGATGATCCGGTTTATTATATATGAACCATTATATTTTTTCCTTATACTATTTCTAGCTATGAACCATTATATATTTGTTCGTTATACTATTTATAAACCCATGGATAGGGTTTATTACAACTATGTGAGTTACATTATCTACAATATAATAATATGCTAATTCTCTTGTGGATATTGTTATATTGTTGGGATAGTTATTTTTCGCATAAAATAGAAATTTATATGATTCTTACCCCATGATTTACCAATCAAACATAGTGTCATCCTAATAATATTTTCTATAGTAAAATATAAAATATATTTGATCAATAAATTTATAACTCTTAAGTCCTAACCACCCACATGTGGGTGGTCAGATGGGACAATAGAGACTCTTGGGTGTATTACTCAACTTAAGAGATCTTAAGTTCGATTCCCCTCTGTTACTAATATGAGTGATCACTGGAGGGTTTATCCAGTTGTTAACTTTAGGACCATGAATAATTAGTTGAGGTATGCACAAATTGGTCCAGACATCTCATCACCAAATTGTAATTTTGATCAAGTAAAAATTAAATCAAAAGAGAACCAGTCTCCTTAATGGTATTATTAATAATATTGAAGGTAAATTATTTGTCTCATCTTCTCAATTACAAATCTACATTCAATTTCACAAACTTACAAATCTATATTCAATATTATTTGTTATTATTACTCTAATATTCAACATTAATACAAATCTATGTTAAATGCTTGTTACATATTTAACATTCAATTTGGGTGCGTTTGGATCGAGGGCATATAAGATAACGAGGGTAATCTTCGTTTATTTTACAAGATTCTAGTGTTTGGTTTGCAAATAATAAAATATTACGGGAATCTTTTATTGTAAATAGTGTTTACTATTGGTACTATGGGGGGTAATTTGATACCCTCCCTTACCCTTGGGATTAAAACATTACCAAGGTAATTTGATTTTTATATCCATTTTGCCCTTAATTAAAAACCATTTCGAATACAATTGCCCTCAAATGTCTACAAAATAACAATTACCCAACCCCCCAACATTTGAGAAATTAGCTAAAACACCCAAACCACAAAAAAATTTAAAAGTTAACAAAATACCCCAAGCCACTCAAGATCACCACTAGCCGTTACTCACCATCGTCGGCCACCGGTGCTAGTCACCGTAATGGTACACAACCAGTAAGATCTGGCCGGTTATACACCGGTAAGGCCTTTTCCAACCATGGATCACATATCCATGGCAAAAAATGACTAGATCTAGCCGTTTCTATGGCGTTTCACAGCCATATCTTTGGCCGTGAAATGGTCATATATCTGGCCGTGACGGGAAATGGCTTTGCTGACCCACGATCGGCCATATATGGCTAGTCATCCACCATTCCGGTAGTCGACGGTGATGGCTGGCTGCCGGTAGTGGCCTGGGGTAGGTGGGGGTGATTTTCTTACAAATTAAAGTTTTATATGGCTAGGGTGTTTTAGCAAAATTTCAAATGTAAAGGGTTAAAAGAATGATTCAAAAAATAATATTATATTAATATTTAAAAAGGCGGACAATTTGGTAATCTATATAATATACTCACCCATTTATCCTCCCAACCAAACATATTATCCACCAATTTATTCGAACCAACTAAACACATTTTCTAAACATTCCAAGTAATCTTTAGGGGGCGTTTGGATCATATAATATTTTTTTTATCTTAGTTAATAAAATTACCAGAAAGAAAGATTACATTGTAGATTAACGGGTTTAAATTATTATTGTGCTTGGTTCAATTGAGATGTATTAATAATTAATGTGCTTGGTTGACAGTAATAACTTATGTCCTTAAATACCCTTTTACTAGAATGCCCTTGGAATGATTACTTGTATTACTAATTAATCTGTTTGGTTTGATGTAACAGCAGATGTCTTGATTACATTTTACTAAAATGTCCTTTAGATGATTACTGGGTGTAAATAATTAACATGTTTGGTTAATAAAAGAAATTATCAATTAACAAAATATTTTTTCTTGCATTTTAGCCAAGTATTTTATTGTTAAGTTATTTATTGACAAATTTACACAGACTATTGAAACTCTAAAAAGAACCTATTGTATTTCTTCTATCTACAGCTCTGATTTTTGTATTACCACAAATTATAATTCATGCATGTTTATTTCTACTTTAATTCAATTGAAACCAAATTTTTTTTTTTTTCAAGGCAAAAGAAAAATTAAATTTTTTTTTGGTTTACACCATGGCCGAAATTTAGAAACAAGTTTCCAAATTTGAGGAAATTTGTTAACTTTTTCCACTTATCCTGGGCCGAAACTATGTGTGAAAATTGTGAGAATTATTGGTGCATTTGTCATATCGCATATTTCGGAGTACCTGTGCATTTACATTATGCTGAATCCAAGCAATGTTCCAATAAATTAACTAAAAGCTGAATAATGATGCTCTTTAAACCTGTGAACCAATAATATTACATAATTTTGCACTTGGCAACAGTGAACATAATCACCACCATTTTTTAAATGAAATCAATTTTACATCCGCAAAAACTAATTACACAATACTCAATACACAATAATTATACATAAATGAATAAAATGCAAGCTATGCTACTGAACTTCACACAACAGTTTTCACGAAAGGCTATAAATTCAGCTTGTGTAAACCAAT